GTTCTCCGTGGTATGCCCATGATCCCGATGGAACTCACAGTACTTGTTCATGTCCCTGAATTCGGGTGGTGACCTCATTCTGATAGGCCATTTCAGTTCCTTCATATCCTTGATCTCCATCAATATATTGGTCTTTGACGTATTTAAATGCGTGAACGGCGTCGGGGAAACCTTCTGTCTCTGTTTTTTCCGATGTTGTTCTTCACGGGGGTTCGGGTCATGCTGTCTTTTATGCTCGACCCTGTCATAGGAAGGTCCAAACCTTTCTTGGGTTCAGTGTTTCCTCCATATTTATGTACTTCTCAGCTCGGGTAAGAAGCTCGGTGACTGTCTTTGGTGGAGTTTTGGATAAAGACATCTTGAAAGCCTCGCACTTTATGGCATATGTTAGGGCAGAAACTGCTACAGTTATGTGTAGGTCGGGAATCTGAAGTCTTTCCTTGTTGAATCTGGTTATGAAGTCACGTAGGGTCTCATTTTGCCCTTGTCTAAGTTGCATGAGGGAAGCCGCTGTCTTCCTGATGCGTTTGCTGCTTGCGAAGAAAGCGGAGAACTTGTCCGCCGAATCCGAGAATGAGGCTATGGAGGTGGACTCTAAGGTGGAGAATCAATCCCTAGCAGCATTCGTCAAAGTTTGCGGGAAGGCCTTGCACATCACCTGATCTGGTGCAACATGTAGATTCATGACGTCCGTGTATATGTTCAGATGTTTGATTGGATCGGTGGTCCCGTCATATTCTTTGATCCTAGGATACTTAAATCTGTCCGGCAAGGGGAATGTTAATATCTTGGGAGTAAATGGAGTGTTGGGACTGAATCTTGTCATCCCTTTGTTGCCCTGAAGTAGGCCCGCCGTAATTCCTTCTTGAATAATCCTAGCGAGTTCCCCGGACTCCATGGTCACTGATCTCGAGGTCGAGGTCACATGTGGTATACCCGAGGCCCCTGCTCCGCCATTGTCAGGGACATGAGCTCGAGCTCGAACATCAGCCATAAAACCTCCCTGGGGTGCCGGTGTGGGTGACGGATGCGAATTTCTTTGACTTAGCAGCTGAG